CCCGCAGCCCCAGCCGAGCGCCGGCTCCTCCCCGCCTCCCAATTTCTGTCCCCTCCCTCCCTCTTGCCTCCCTTCCTAGCCCGCCTCCCAGCCGCTCCCTCCTGCCCCAGGCTGCAACCCCTCGGGGCAGCTAGCGCCCACGCAGGTGGGGACCAACCCGGGCCCGCCTCCTGGCCGCCGCCCCCCGCCCCGTCCGCGGCGCTCCCGGCGTGCCTCCTTCTCTCTCCTTCCCGCCCCCTGCTTCCGCGCTCGGCCCCGCCGCGGGCTCGCTCCTCGCCTCGGTTTCCCTTTTTCCTCATCCCTCTTCTCCTACTTTCACCTCTCCTTTCCTGCCCTCCTCTCTTCCTACTTTCTCCCTTTTCTCTCCCATTCTTTTTCTCACCAACCTTCTCCCCCTATTCTCCCGCACGCAGCCTCCTTCCCTCACCCACCCACTTTTGAGTTCGTGCAGCCCAGTTCCCGCCAGTGCAATGGGTTCCTGTGTGGTTGCTTTTCTTGGCTGGGGCGTCATTCCCTCTGGGCGCAGGGCGAGCCGTGCCCCCTGGAGTTGTGCCACGCGGCAGCCCAGCTGCTCTTTCTCCAGGATGGATTTTGACCCCTGGCCACCTCCACCTGTCCACCTGCAGGGGTGGGGACGCCGCTTTCCGGTGTTTTCCGCCCTGCCGAGCCCCACCCTGCCGACTGGTTCGCACCACGTTCTGGATGTTTCCCGAGGGTTTTGTGCGCTGCCGCCGGCGTCGCCGCGCTCTTTGTTTTAATTGTCCAGGGTATTGGCGCCCAGAGCGGGTTTGGATTTGATTTGCATCCGTGTGCTCTGGCTTCCACTTTGAACCGAAAAGAAAATGAATTAATTAGGCCAATACAATTGCATTCAAGCCTAAATGAAAGGGGTGAGGCCCTTGAAGTGCACAAACAGCTTTTTAAAAAATCCAGGCACATCTCCGGCCTCGGGGACGGAGGTTGGGACTGGCTGCTTGCCCGCCTGGGTTCTGCCACCAGGATGAGAAACGCCGGGGCGGCTGGACCCTTAGTGCGCTACAACCCCCGTCGCCCTGGGAAGCGAACGACTGTGTCTAGCGGCTTGTCAACTGCTGGCCCTACGCCGGCTGCTCTAAAACAGTTAACCCGCTTCAGAAAGTTCTCACCAGCTTCCCCTGGCACTGGTGGCTTTCTGCAGATTGGAACTAATAATAGATTGGGAGACGGGAGGGGACACAGCCCTTTCCCTGTGGAAGTGCCACCACCGATGGTCAAGTCACAACAGGAGTTGAAGAGAGGCGAGATGGGAGGCAGGCTTGGTTACACTGGCTTCCTGGTCCCTATGCCTGGACATGCCCTCAGCGTTTTAGGACAGGCCTGGTCACCCCAGGCATGCCTGTTTCCTGGCTGCGTCATCACTCTTTGCATTTCTTTTCTTTGCATCACCCAAGGTCTGTGGCCCCATGTCAGGTCCCTGACCTGGATTCACTCACTGCTAGATAGTGTCTCATACAGATGGTACTCACACTTGACAGCCCACCAGGGTCAGGTAGAGGGCTGCGTGAACACTGATCGCTGGGCTTCAACCCTAGAATTTCTGATTCAGTAGGTCCTGGTGAGTCTTGGCTGCTAATCAGAAGGCTGGCTGTTGAAATGCTTTGGAAGACTGGCCTAGCAATGCTTCCAAGATGGAAATCCTAAGGAGAGCAATTCTACTGTGAAACACATGGGGTCGCCAAGAGTGGACTCCACAGAAACTGGTTTGGTTTTGGGTGAGACTTGGGAATTCACCTTTCTAACAGGTTCCCAGGTAGCTCTGGTAGCATACTGCTAACCAGAAGGCTGTTGGCTCAAATCCACCAACCACTCCTCGGAAGGAAGGTTGGGCAATCTACTTCCATAGTGATACTGCCTCGGAAACTCAAGGAGGGGTCGCTATGAGTCAGGGCCGACTCCACGGCACACAACAACAACAACAACAGGTTCCCAGGGGAGCTCTGGTGGTGTAGTGCCTAAGGCATTTGACTGCTAACCAGAAGGCTGGCAGTTCAAAACTACCAGCCACTCCGCAGTAGGATGATTGGGCAATCTACTACATAGAGATAATGCCTAGGAAACCCAAGGAAGGATTACTATGAGTCAGAAAGGACTCCATGGCAGTGAGTTGGGTTTTGGTATTTCAAACAGGTTCCCATAGTCCTCTGGGTGGTGCAAACAGTTAACATACCCAGCTGCTAACCCAAAGGTTGAAGGTTGAAGTCCACCCAGAGGCACCTAGGAAGAAAGGCCTGACGTCTGCATCTGAAAAATCAGCCACTGAAAACCCTACGGAGCACAGTTCTGCTCTGACAGGAGTCACCATGATTTGCAGGCAGTTCCACAGCAACTGGTTTACTGGCACTAGGTCCTCAGATGATGCTGATGCTGTTGGCCAGAGACCCCACTCAAAGAACCCCTGGCTACAGGAAAACGCTTCTCTCAACCAGCTGCTTCGACATTAAAACGTTTTGAGGTTTCTTTGTTTGACACATCTCCGTACTACCTCTGTTCCACTTCCACAGAAACAAAGCACTTAAAACAAAATTCTCCTATATGATGTGGCAAGCCATTTATCCTGTCACGTGTCCAAGGAGACAAAAGATTTGGTGTCTTTGTCCCAGATAATGTTCATATATTTCCTGTCAGGTCAAAGTAGACTACTTTTTAATGTCTGTGGAAGGAGAATGAGGCTTCAAAGGCCTTCCCAGTATTTCTGCAGTTTCCATCTGTCTTCCTGGGCCTTTCTCTGGGCTTTCTCTCCTCCCTAATTGCACACAGACTCTCAGTTGTTCTGCATGGACCCAGTTGGTTCCCTTTGGTTGTTTGTAACCAGGATTCATGGAATTGGAGTTTTCAAAGCGTTGTGAGCTTTAAGGGTTTGAGTTTACTGAAGTGTAGTGGATGTGCAGGTACCCACAGGGGACTGGGCTATTACATTATATGTCTAGTTGCTCATAGGGCCATTGGGTGGGGCACATGATTTGTACTCAACTCCTAACCCAAAAGTCAGTGGTTCAAACCCACCCAGCAATGCCATGGAATGAAGTTCTGGCAATCTGCTTCGGTAAAGATTATAACCAAGAAAACACTATGGGGCAATCTATTCATGGAGTCACCATGAGTCAGATTGACTCAAGGGTGTAGATTTGGGTCTTTTTTTTTTTAATCCAGTCGCTCACTTATCCATCTTCCATTTTGTTCCTACTGTGTGTCTGGCCCACCCCAGACCCTGAGAATCTAATGGTCAGGACCACCCATTTCCGTGAAGGACAGGAGTTACATGTGGAAAACACCAAACACATTGTGGTTTGTCCTCTAAAAAAGATGTTCAAGTTGCCCGGCAGACCAGGGTAGAGGACAGCATGATGGGCTGATTAATTCTGCCTTGGACAGAACCAAAAAAAGAAACACCAGGGGTTCTTTTCACAGTGGAGTGTGGCATTTTGACCCAGAGGACAGAATCAACTGTTACCCTTTATGTCAATAATTTAAAGAGTGTGGTCTGATTTCAGAGGAAGTCTCCTTATTCAGAATTATCATTCTTTCCCAATGACTCTTGGAAAGATTTGAGGTTCCACCATTACAGATCATTGGTTTAAATTAAGTTTTAGTACTCCACTAAAATGCAAAGAACCCTGGGGAGACTGTATTAATGTGGTGTCACTCATTATTACCTTCCTCTGAGTTTGTCACATGCTCACTAAGGAGACAGCAGAAAACAACTCCACACCTCAGGACAAAGGCAACGGTTTTGGTGGAAGATGGTGGACACACTTATCAAAATCCAAGTTGATGGAACCCTCATACACTGCTGGTGGGACTGTAAAATGGAGCAACCACTGGGGAAAATGGTATGATGCTTCCTTAAAAAGCTGGAAATAGAAATAACATCCAGCAGTCCCACTACTAGGCGTATAGCCTAGAGAAAGAAGAGCCATGACACTAACAGATACATACATACCCGTGTTCACTGAAGCACTATTCACAATAGCTAAAAGATGGAAACAACCTAAGTGCCCATCAATAGAGGAATGGATCAACTATAGTATATATGCACCATGGAATACTACATAACGTTAAAGAACAAGGATGAATCTGCAAAATATCTCATAATATGGATGAACTTAGAGGCCATTTCCTGAGTGAAGTTAGTCAGTCACAAAAGGACAAATATGAGACTACTATTATAAAAAGTCAAGAAAAAGATTTCACAAAATAAGAAATATTCTTTGTCTCCAGCACTAGTAGCAAAGTTCAACAAGACAGAAAATGACAAATGCTGGCGAAGATGTGGAGAGATTGGGACTCTGATACACTGCTGGTGAAATATTAAAATGGTACAACCATGTGGAAAGCAGTATGGCGATTCCTTCAAAAGTTGGAATTAGAAATACCATTTGACCCAGCCATTGCTTTACTAGGTA